TGAAGTTGGTGTTTTTCATGCCTCTTTACATGGTTGAATGTATTGGAATGTTGAGCTCTTGTTACATTTTCATTTTATTGTCTAGTTATTTAGCAGGAATTTGAATTGTTTACTTTCACAACACCTGTGACCAAAAACATTCCAACGGAACTGCTTCAAAAGTTCTTGGGTGCGTCTAGTGGTGTGCGGGCAAGCATTATTGTGAACCAACACCACACCAGAAGTCAGCATGCCCTGAGGTTTGTTAGGGATGGCTTGTCTGAGTTTTCGTAACGTTTCACAGTAGACTTCGGAATTGATGGTGAAACCACGCTCCATGAACCTCACTAGTAGTACTCCTTTGGGATCTTCACATTTGACGGGATTTTCTATGGCACCACTTCCGGTGTGGTGTTGGTTTGCGATAATGCTCGCCCGCACACCGCTAGACACACCCAAGAACTTTTGAAGCAGTTCCGTTGGGATCTTTTTTGATCACCCCCCATAGCCCAGATTTGGCGCTGAGTGACTACTACAAAGGAACTTCAAACCTTGTAAGACGTTATGACAAGTGCCTCAATTTGAATAGCAATTATGTCAAAAAGTAATGTAATGTTGAAGTTTTCTAATGCGTATAATAAAAGTTCTGTATCTGCGAGTGTCTGTCATTGATAACCAAATGGAGGTTTATTTCCAAATTGCATGCACTTGAGGAAAAGCATGCACTGAAATGCACAACCAAGCAACTAGGCACTGTGTACAGCAGGCATGTCAAACTGCCATCCCGCGGGCTGGATGCATCATACTGAAACCGTGCTCACCCCATTGCCGGCAATGGGGAAAAAGTCACGATATGTCGCGCATCATGTGACATTGCGAGTTTGACATGCCTGGTGTACAGGAACAGCTATAGTGTATGGGCTAAACCCTCCCAAATCCAGATGGGAGATTCCACAGAAGGTCATGAGGAATAAAAGGGCCAAGATTATGTGGGACTTCCAGATTCAGACAGACAGGTCCTGACCAGTCAAGCAGACATTGTGGTAGAAGACAAGGACCAGAAGACAACAGAAGTAATAGACAGGAATAGCAATATCAGGAAGGAGTATGAAAAGGTAGGAAACTACCAGGGCCTGAAGGAAGAACTAGACAGGATGTGGAAAGTAAAGGTCAAAGTGGTCCCAGTGGTGGTAGGAACACTCAAAGCTATGATTCCTAAGGTAAGAGAGTGGCTCCAACAGATCCCAGGACAACATCGAAGCTCTCTATCCAGAAAAGTGCAGTGCTACAAACAACTTAGACACTCTGCAGATCCCTCAAACTCCCAGGCCACTGATAGAAGACTTCAGAATGAGGAAACCACATATACTATGTGGGGGAGAAGGGAATTTTGCTTAAACTTTTACACACTTACACACACACATACATGATACACAACATATAAATCTGTCTGTGTAAATTCAGTGTTTCTCAACCTTGACAATTTTAAGGCATGTGGACTTCAACTCCCAGAATTCCACAGCCAGCAATGCTAGCTGTGGAATTCTGGGAGTTGAAGTCCACATGCCTTAAAATTGTCAAGATTGAGAAACACTGGGTAGTTGCTAGGATTCAAAGCTCTCTTTGCTGCCCCAAGTGGTTGTCCTGATTTTTTTTCAGCCCTCATCCCCCCCCCCCGAAACCCCGATCCTGAGAACTGCTCGAGATACACTTCTAACAGCGTAGCCTTTTCTTTCTTTCCTTCCTTCCTTCCTTGTAAACCAGTGTTTCTCAACCTTGACAATTTTAAGGCATGTGGACTTCAACTCCCAGAATTCCACAGCCAGCATTGCTGGTTGTAGAATTCTGGGAGTTGAAGTCCACATGCCTTAAAATTGTCAAGGTTGAGAAACACTGTTGTAAACGGTATCGCCATTCCTCTCACCCCAAGCGCCGGCGGCGAAGCTTCAAAAATTCCAAGCCGCGCCCGGACAGCCCCAGCGGCCCCAGCGCGAGCCTTAAGAGCTGAGCCAGAGGCTCACGTGGCTCTTCTTTCCCCCCCTCCCCCTCCCCCGCCCCCGCCAGGTGTCTGTGAGTGGTTTTCCAGAGCGGACTCTCCGGTTGAAAAAATATAAAAGGAAAAGGCTGCGAGACTGCACCTGTCAACCTTTTTTTTTTTTTTTTTCTTGAGAAGGGAGGCTGAGCGGACTGAGCGTGCGCAGCTGGCTTTGGGGCTCTAGTCGGCACCTGCGAGAGCGAAGGCCTTCGGAGCGGGAGCGGGTGTTGGTGTGGAGGTTGTTTACACTCTAAAACCAAGGCGCAGCTACTGGAGCAGGTGTGGATTCTGTTGGGAAAAGAGGGTTGTAAGTGTTGGACCTTGAGAAAATCCAAGCAAACGAAATTTGTAAATGGGAGCTGGCTTGGCTGAATAGTCCCGCAGCCAAAGACCCACCCACAGACCAGATAAACCTCCCAAGTGTTCGAACTGGCTTGCTTGCCGGAAGTCCTGGCTACAACGGTAAAATTCGACAACTACTTGAAAGCAAACGCCATTTACTTCAGTTGGACTTGCTCTCAGATAAAATGCAGAATGGCGTAAGACTTAGGCTTTCGGTGGGAGAGTTTTCAGTTTTGTGGATCCCACTTGCACGTTTGAAAAGCTGCCCTCTGTCTATCGCCGCTGTTCCAGTTAAGAATTCCTCCCCTGAGTAAAGAACAAGACTACATTCTCATGATACTCAACTATAGTCAGCTAAATATTAAATTAGTTTATTATATGAATTCATTCCACATTTAAGAGATCAGTTTATTGTGCAAAGCCAAAAAATTAGTAAATGTGTGTGACATGTGAACATGGCTGTATGGAGACATGCTCTTGTATGAAGACATGCTCTTGTATTTTTGTGGAGTGGGGTGATCTGAACCTGAAAAGGTTATTTAAAAAACCCACTTCTTTCCTATATACTAAGCCCATTGGAAGAGGAAGTAGAAGATGAATAAGTTAAAAATCTTGCACAGGATTTCTTTCATAAACATACCGGTAGATATAAATATAAAAATGTTACAAATATAGCTATAGTAGTCATTGTACAGACTGAGTGTGTTTAATGCAGAAAGTTTAATCAAATTTTGTTTGGGGTTTTTTTCCTTATATTTTGTAATTTCTATATTATTGGGATTTTTTAAATTTTATTTAAAGCTGCCCATCTCACAAACAAGTGAGTCATTAATGGTGGCTCACAAAAGTATGCATGCCCTGTTTAAGATTACTGAGTGGTCTACAGCTTTAGACTTTAATAAATTTGTTGTATTGTTTTAATAAATAAATTGCAGTTGGTGCTTTCTGAGCTTGGTTTGTGCTTACAGACATTTTCATTACCTGACGAGTAATGTCTGCAAGCAAACAGCCAAGCTCAGAGAGCCCTAAGGACTTCATAGTTGAACCCTGAGCTATATATATTCTCTTCTATTGGTGTATATATTTTAGATTTCTTATTAGCAGGCATAATACCCAATCACTTCAGGCAGGGTTTTAAAAATGGTTGTTAATACAATTGAGATCAAAGAGCAATGTCATCTTTTCACATGGAATTTTATATAAAACCTCTTCCTGCTGTGGTCTGCTCATAGACTGCTGTGCTTATAAATGATGTAAATATGCTTTTTCATTCAATAATGCCTTCCCTCTGTACCATCCCCCCCAAACCAGCAAATCAGTCATGTTTATAGCATAGCATACTATGGTAGAATAGTAGAGTAATAGAGTTCTAGAACCTTCATATTAATTGTTAAAGATATTTATAATGTATAGACTCAAGGGGAATTTTCAACACAAGTATATTTTCAGAAGAAGAAAACTAAAATTTCTGAACTATGATTGGGTTGCATTCGTGCTGAAAAAATAAAAGGAAATTATTTCTTTGAAGTAAATTTGGATTTTTTTTGATGGGACTTTTTCTTTGGAATTGAGGTGAGCTTCAAAAAGATATTACTATCTTCTGGGGTTCCTCCAAGCTGTAATGGTAGTGTGTACTAAGACAATGGTGGCGAACCTATGGCACGTGTGCCAGAGGTGGCACTCAGAGCTCTCTCTGTGGGCACACACGCTGTTGCCCCAGCAGAGTTCTCCAGAGTAGCGAGCTCGTGGCATTTGGAAGCAACAGGGCAGGAAATGAGCGACCAAGCAGCGTTGCCCCCCCGGGGATGCCCCGGAGATGGTGAGGGACTGGCTTCCGCCACCCTGGCCCTGGCCACACTTACCCAGTCTGCCGTGACCACTGCAGCCACTCCCACCCAGTGGGCCATGCCCCCACACACCCCCTGAGGGCACCACAATACTGATGCAGCCCTGGCACTTTGTGATAAATAAGTGGGTTTGGGGTTCCAATTTGGGCACTCGGTCTCTAAAAGGTTCGCCATCACTGTACTAAGCTACTGCTTATTGGTACAGATAGTCCTTGGTTAACAATGGTAATTGGGACCAGAATTTCCATCGTTAAGCAATATGATTGTAAAGCATGATAATATGTGACCATCACTTAGTGATGGCAAGCCTGGCATTCCTTTTTGTCATTGTTAAGGAAAATGAATTATTAGGTGAGTTCAAGGCAGCTTGCAAGCAGACCAGCAACAGGGCTGTTGCCTGATGTGGGATGATGTGTAGCTGGGTGTGACTTACTGTGATGACCTGTGACTTTCCCTGCTGACTTCTCTGTTGACTTTGTGGAAAGTCAGCAGAGAAGATTACAAGTGGCCATTGACTGAGGGATGCTGCAATTATGTGGTTGCCAAGCACATAGATCACGATCATGTAAATGCAGGGGTGCTGGGCAGACTATATCTCAAGGACCAATTCTAAATACCATTCATTTAGCCCCATCTGTAACTTTGAACAGTCACTGAATGAATGCTTATTAAATTAAGACTGTCTGTATTTGTATTCTTCTATTACTTCTTGACCATAGGCAAAGTTCTCTGGCATTTTTGGTTCTGCTATCATAGGAAATACTATTTTCTTTGTCTTTTTCATTGTGTCAGTGTAAACATGACAGATCAAGAACAGCGAATGAACTTACTGAAGAAAGAAGTGAGGTCACTGTTGACACCTAGCAAGGAAGGTCTTACCCTTTGCCAATTAGAACAAGAATACAAGTCTATGATAGGAAAACTGCTTCCATTGCGTATGTTGGGTTACCATTCTGTTATGGAATTAGTGAAGGATATGCCTGATACTGTTAACATATGTCCAAAAGGAGACGGCACTGTAGTTCTCAAAGGTGGGTTTGATTTTAATTTGGTAAGAGCAGGGCATGGGGAAGTGATGTTTGAAAAAATATATGGGGGGTATAAGTATTGAGACAAGAGATTTAATTTGGCCAAGGAATTGGCTGTTATAACTTTCTGATGCATAAAACATTCATGCTTACAAGTAAAGTTTTAGTTAATTAGAAAAGTTTTCACAAGGATAGATGGATTTTATTTTATCTGTTTTCCTTGGTCTTCCCAATTCTATCAACAAACTTGCAATATGATGATTTGTTTGCAGTCCCTTACATATTTTTAAATATGTACAGTGTTTTAGAGTTGTGATATCTTGCAAGTCTGGGTCATTATACTTAGCAAATAGTAGCAGGGTTATTGCCAAACTATGCTATGTGCCTAATAGATTGGAAATAGTTTATATTTTCCTTTATACTTTTTTAAATCATGATTTTATCTTCAGCTAATAAGGGCTTTCAGAGCAGCACAGAATTTGAAACATAAATTGTAAAGGTCAAAATCCCCAAAAGGTGGGAGAGAAAATTGCAAATGAAACAAAGTAGAAAGCTGTGGGAGTGTTTGTTTTAAAAAGTTCAATAATGCTAGACTGGGAGGTTATGGCTTGTAACAATTAGAAAAATACCTTTGCCTGCAGAAAGCAAACTCTGGGAACTAGCACTATGATAATACACATTATTTCTTCTGTCTTTTAGCTATTGCTGATGAATCTACCAAAAGGATTGCAAGCTTGATTGCCAGACAAAAGAGCAAATATAAGCCACAACATTCCAAACATAAGCTGAATTTCTCTTTGCCTTCCACCTCTTGCTCTCAAGTGACTTTGCGCCCCCAACATTCTCTAAGCTTGCCTCGGCATGGAGGAGGTCCTCCTACTCTGCCTCCTGTTATAAAAAGTGAGCTGAAGGAAGTGCTGAGATTTTCCCCAGTTTTGCTCTCAGATTTTGACAAAGCCTTTGCCCAACGCTTTGGACGCACATTTGAATTCATGCGTTATGGATTCTTCTCAATGTTTGAGGTGTTGAATGCAGCTTCAGATATTATCCAAATTGTGCAAACAAGAGCAGGCTCTTTGATGACATTAAAAGAACATCCTCTTACAAAGCAACCAGAAATGTTGTCAGAGTGTAAGACAATATTTATTTATATTCAACTGAAATTTGAATGTTTATATTCAACTGGAATATATTTATCACACTTTGATTACAAAGATTTTGAGAATTGCTGGAAACTATATACTTTAGTGATTGAGGTTGTGGTGGTGTTTTTCCTTCTGAGCATTTACTTTCTTTGAAATGATAAATACAAGCACTCTTGGCTGTACCTAGAGGAGAAATAGTAATAGTAGAATTGCTCAGTGCTTCTTTAGGTTGAAGCTTACAGCAGCTGGCTGGATTCCCAGTAAGAAGATTAACTTAGTGAGGGTAAGGCAAAGAAAGGTATATTTATTACAATAGTCTTTGTTGGAAGGTTGGTTGGTTAGATTTATGCATATCGTTATAGGTTACATACTGTATGTTGATGCAGACATACATGTTCATTCTCCCAACTGCTCTTTTGGTGAAAGATTGAAATTTTGCTGCTCAGAACTTTAATATTGGCTGGCTTGAAATAGAATATGGAGTTGTGTGTAATTACTGCTGACACTTTTATGCTGGCTTTCTTAAGGCAAAATGGCAGTCCAGTCATGTGAAACAGAGCAAACTTTGCCTGCTGCTGTATCAGAACCTGTGGCAGAGATGCCTTCTCCAGTCTTGCCTATGGATGTTCTGCAGTCAACCGCAGACCAGAAATCTGATGATTTGCAAACACAGATGAAACTAGTTGAAAGTCCAAAAGTGAGAGCTGAGGAGAGGATGGGACAAGTAAGAAGTAAAAGTATTATACCCTAGAGATGACTGAAATGAAGGATACATTTAGATCACAGAAATTCTCTGGCATGGAATGCCTTTTAATGTTATACAGAAAATCATCACTGTGAACTCAATTTTAAATATTACACTTAGTCAAAACCATATTCTACGCATACCCACATATAACTTTTCAATGCAGCTATCCAAATGACAAGTCCATTCTTGATTTATAATGTCCATTTTTCATAAGTCAAGCGGATTGATGCAATCAATGTAAGAAATATTTATCTGTTCATTCATTCCTATCTATCAGTATCTCTTATGTTTTATTTGAATTGGCTGTTTAAAAATTGTGAAAACATTGCTTTAGCTGAGCAATGGATTCAATGAAGAACTCGATCCTCTAAACTCCAATCCCTATCATTAAGGGAAAAAATATTTTAAATGGTCTTATTTCCAGATATTTGGGACCTTGCTGTATGTACTACTGGCTTAAGTCCTGCCAGTATGTTATCTTTGAAGATATACAGCCATTGACAAAAAAAGTTAACAGTTCAAATTGGTATCAGTATCTATCTTTAAACATCCTTGCACAGTATAAGGAGTTTAAATCCTATATTCCTAAGCAATCAACAAAAGTTCTGGGGTTCCACACAATATTCAGAGAACAAGTCTGTTTTCTAATTATTCCTGGGTTAAAAGGTAGGAGCAGTTACTAGTTTAGCTTTTAACATTTATTTCTGCTTTATTACAAAAATATTCCCATTTTTGTATGATAAATTTATTCTGGCCACTTTACAAAAAGAAATAGAGAAATATATATCCAACTATTTAATATAAAGTTTTAAAATAATTATTGAGAAAGAGAATATTAAAATAAATGGATGGGAAAATAAAATTACCTTATATATATATCAATCACAGTTGAGTAAGCTCTTCTCTTCAAATCTCAGCCTAATCTACACATACACCTAACTAATCTACATTTGTTTAATAGAAATAATATAAGCTTCTCAATATTCTTACCTCACATAAAAAAATGGAAAGAGTTTAAAAAAAACTACTAAAATGCTTGAAAAGAAAGTTCCTTTCTCTGCTTATCACAGTAATGCAAAAGTTGGAGTTTCCCATCCCCTCTCAACCAACAAATGCTATTAATTACTAATTAACTAGTGTACCGATTTACATAACTATTTAAATTTCTTTCTGTTAGCTTTGTATTAGTTATATACAGAAAATACCCAAATTTAACACATTTCTGAATCTTTATTTTAGAATAGGTCTCTTAGCCAAGTCTCTTAATTAAAAAATTCCTTTCAAGGGCCTTTTGAATATAAGATTCTTTGCAATATATGAAATTTTTAGGGATCAAGAAACACTATACTCCATTAACTTTAAAAAGAAAACATCTTGTTATTTAGTGATTGATGTTTAGCACTGAACGGGACTTCCTTGTGTCTTGGCTGCTGCTGACATTTAGGGAAGATGTTTGTTACTTTTCTGTTCTGCTTTTGACCTCTCGGAATCCTCTGGCTAGCCAAAGTGCTAAATGCAATACTATGATGGGAAGACTTTTAATCCAATTCCGGCATTTTCTTTGGTTTTAGATTAGTGCATAAGTTTTAAACACCTGTTTTATTGTAAATGGTCAATGCAAATTTTACATTAAGGTTTTCATAAAATACTTGAGATGTAGAATTTTGCAAAAAAAAAAAGGTTTTTTTTATATGTACTTGTACTTCCTTTCACTCTGGATAATTCACTTTTCCCCCTCAAACCTCAAGAAAGAAATTAAGATTGCCCTTGCCCAAAAAGGACCTGGAGGAATAATCAGCTCAGAATTTAAAGAAAAAATTAAAATTGTAAGTACTCTATTCTGTTTGGCTGTAGTTTTGTATTTTGAGGATAGCAACCCAGAGAACATAAGTAGAATCCATTCAGTAATAAAGGGAAATGCTTCAAACTTAGTGGGGAAAAATTAACATTTTGGCCCACCAGCTTTTGCATAAACTTTTGTGCACATACCCAAACTAAAAACTACCTAGGCGGGGAAAGAAATCCACACATATTTTCTGCCTTTGCTTTTACCTATCATTGAAAGGATATTGAATTTCTAGACACAATAGTATCAGTTAGGATACAAACAATATTTGTTTACAAATCTCATAATGTGAATTTCCTCAAATCTTTGTTCCAAGTAAATCATCATCATTATTTATATCCTACTTTTATTTGTACAACTTAAAGCAGCATAATAATGCTCCCATCCTCTACTTTTCCCACAATAGCAAACTTGCTTAGATACAATGTTTTTTTTTACTGTTTAGGCCAAAGTTGTAAATATGCTTAACAATCACTCTATGATTTATTTTTAAGATTGTAGCCCAGTACCCAAATGGCCTCCATGCTTCCAAGTTACCTGGAGAATTTGAGGTAGTGGTTTTTTGTTTATTCAGATTTACTTGTGTTTACTGCCTTTTGTGCCTGCAAGCCTTCTCTTTTTCTCATTCTATATGGCATTCTATAGGACAGTGTATACTCTGGACTAAAGTAACGCAATATTTAACTACTGCATGGATTTTTAGTATAAAAAATAGTCAATACATGACATTGCCTGACTGTCCATGCAGATAATGCCAGGTGCAGAGACATTGAGGGTCATAATTCTTGGTTTCATATACTTCTTTCTCTAAGTTGTGAATTTTTATTTGGAAATGATATAGCAATAGTAGTAGCAAAATAGGTTTGTTATTCAGATGTCACTTTAGATCCTGGCAAATTTATTTCATAATGTTAGCTAAGTTAACTAATTTCTTATTTAACCATTTTTGCAAATTTAGCCATGGATTTTTTGAGTTCTAAGATTTTTTTCTTTATCTAGGAGTATTTTCATGAAAAATTGCCTGTAAGAAAACTGGGTTTCTTAAATTTGATGGAACTTATTGGTGCCCTTAATGATGTTCTCCGTATTGAGTGCAGAGAAGGAGAAAACGATTGGCTCATCTTTGACATTGACTCACAAAGCCTACCAGATGGTGAGTGGAAGTTCTAGGGGCACAGATCTTCCAGAAAAATGGGCCCCTTAACTTAGTCATATAGATTTCTAATTAAGTATTTAAATATTTGCAATGTAATTAATAAAAATGCACATTTACATCCTTATAGTGTAGATGCACTTTTTCCAATTACTAAAGAACCTGTATTGAATTATGGTTTCTATATGCCATTAAATTGCTTCCAGAAAATTGGGTTAGTGACTGTTCTGTTCTTGTGTTCTTGGCACACAATATGTTGTGTATGTGTTTGCAATGGGAAGTTGCAACATGCAACATGACCTCTCCATTATTATACAAGTAGTAAAGTATATTTATTTATTTGGAAAATTTATATTGCCACCTACTCGCTCATGGTAACTCAGGGTGGCTTACAGGAAATTAAAAACACAATATAAAAGAAATAAAAATAATAAAAAATAAAAATAATAAGACAATCCCCCTACCCCATATCCCTTTGACAACACAAACTCATGCCAGCCATTTAATGGGCTTTGTCCCACTTTGGGTTCCCCAGGCCTGCTGGCAGAACCACATCTTCAGGACCTTCTGAAAGAGTGTCAGAGTGAGGGGTCAGTCTAATTTCCAGAGTGATGATGCTCCAGGGGGAGGGAGCCACCATGGAGAAGGCCCTTCTTCTGGGTCCCACCAGATGTATCTCTTTAGGGTATGGGGCCTACAACATTCCTTGCCTCCCTGCTCTAGTGGGTCAGTTAGATGTGACCGGCAAGATACTGTCCCTCAGATAACCTGATCCCAAGCCATGAAGGGCTTTAAAAATGACAGGGGGGTCTTGTGGCATTTATTATGGAGGCTTTGTGACCTTTATTTAATATTCAAGGAGAGTCTTGGAGGGGGTGACCAAATGGATTGAATGTGATAAAGAAATGGCTTCTTTTAAATAATCTAACTAAACAACCTCAGAAATTCACTGTTAATTTGACAGAAAAACAGGGAAGAGATCTTCTAGATATTGGGGAATATAACTGAAAGTATCCTTCATTGGCCAGAATGCTGAGAATATGAGAAGATAATGTTTGAATAGGATATCAAATCGCCGTTCATTTTATTTGAAATTTCCGTCCACTTAATTTTTTTCAATCGGTTGGCACCCATCCCTGTATATCTTGACTGTGAGATTCAAGAGAGCATGGTGCAATGACACTAGATATGTCAAACTTCCCCCAGAATAGTACACAATAGTTATAGTAAATTACACTGTTTTAATTATACAACATAGAGAATTGAAGTTTTTGTTTTAGCCTAAAATGCTTGCTCTGTTTGGGCTAATCAACATTATTTGATGTTTTGCAAAAGACATTTTACATAAGATGCACATTTGAATTAAAAAAATTAAACCTCTATTCTCCCTGCAGAAGATAAAGCATGGTAGATTCCAGGGAGCCTAATAAACGCTATGTGATGACACTTGACACAAGGTTTATTTGTACACTTACATGTTTTTGCGCTAGTTGCCTAGTCTACTTCAGGATACTGAATAGAGGTGAAACATGAATCAGTGCTAGCTATAGCTTGTATTTCTGTCTTTCAGTAAAATCAGACAAGTTAGGTACTGTATATGTTATACCTATATACGGTAGTTGGTTATGAAACTTGACTTTTAAAGCTGTAGTAGCTCAATGCAAATAATGTTATAGTTTTATGCTTTACAGTTTTCATAGTTCAGGTTTGTTTATTGTTGTTATGAGGCACATAGAGTTGTACAAATAATTAAAAAACTAAATAACATTCCCCCAGTTATGACTTAACATGGAAGAGGTAATATTATTTGGGAGTTTGAACCACTGTGCTTACCTAGCAGCTTTTTTTT